CTTCCCAAGGAGTTTATCAATCTGTCGGAGGGTGAAACATGGGAGAATCCGAGGAAGCCACCTTTGTGCGACGCGGCAGTGACACGTTGAAGGATGGAAGATGGGGCATCACGAAATTAACAGATAGAGCAGAAGGAACTAAAAGTGACATTCTCGGGCACGTGAGAGAGTAATACCACACCTTTCACGGTGAGTTTCCCGTCAGATAAGTCGAAAACCTTTTCCGATGGCTCCAGTCCTAACGTGGCATTCACTGGATCGTTCGGAGGAGCCATGGAGAATAAACAACGAACAACAAGAACAAAGAAGAACAGAGGACAAAAGGATTCAAAACTATAAAGACAAAGACAAGAAACCTTACTTTGAGAATTAGAGAAGAAAGCTAGCTAACTAGTGGGATATGTATACCAATTTGGTGACTGTTTCCACTATGAAAGGAATGAAAAAGTGAAATTATAAGCGATGGTTGGGAGATTACAGACATTCATTCATTTTATCGGTTATATTTATGGTAGGACAGGGAAAAAATGGAAGAGTGGAAGGTTATGAAAAGTAGAAAAAGAGACTTTAAGCTTTTAGATGAAGAAGATACGAAGAGCATGAGAGTAACTGTGGCAAGTTGGTGAATGGAGAGTGTCTCGTATTGTTAGTATATAGAGTACAGTAAGCAACCTTTTGATTAGTTGAAAGTAAAGATTATTTTACACACCTAAATATTTTATATTTATATTTTTATGTATGTAATTAATTTACTTTTTATTTTTTTCTTTCTTTTAATATAAAAGTTTATACTCTTTTTACTATTTTATCTTTGTAGCCTGACACTAGTAACAACACTTGTATTTTTACCTACGTAATTAATTAACTTGTATTCGTTAAATTAACTAGCCTTCTTTTATATGCCAGTTATCTTCTTCTTCCTCCATTGACCTCTCCTCAATTCTCTATCTTTTTCTTTTTCAAAAAGATATTCTAAATTGTGTAATAAAAAATGCTATTTTCTTTTTCATTTTAAAATGTACAATTTGAAATATATATTTTATTTTATATTTCATACTATGCATTTTTTACAAGCTGAAACGTCTTTCGATAGTGAATTTCGGAATGTAAAATGAAAAGAGAGTATAATTGAAAGTTTAAAGTGTATAGAGGTGTAAGAAGAAAATATGGAGGTGCAAGAAGAAGCTGAGAAGGCGGGTTAGCACGAAAGACCAAAACCCAAACTCAAACTGAGTTGGGCTAATAGGGAGGCACTTCTATCTTTGCTGTGATTATTTCTCATCCTGCATTTATGGCCATGGCAGCTCCAACTCTGACCCCAATTCCTTCAAGAACAACCTTCAATCATCAAATCCATGGCCTTCAGCTAAAATTTTAAGTTTCCACTTTCAACCCTCCAATCCAAAACAGAGGAAGGAGCCTTCGAATCCGATTATCATCTTCCCCCAATCAGAACAATAATCAGTCCTCTCCCGGATTATACTCCGCAAAGAAATTCGAGCTTACCACATCCAACGTCGACCTTGTTCTCGAAGATGTTCGCCCTTACCTCATCGCAGACGGTGGCAACGTCGACGTGGTCTCCGTCGAAGACGGCGTCGTATCTCTCCGTCTTCAAGGAGCTTGCGAGAGCTGCCCCAGCTCCACCACAACCATGACGATGGGGATCGAGCGCGTTCTTAAGGAAAAATTCGGAGATGCCGTTAAGGACATTCGCCAAGTCTACGATAACCAACCCAAGGAGATAACGGTTGAGGTCCGTTTTATTTATTTACACCAATGAAACGAAAATAGAATAGAAAATTAAGACTACTATATGGGTAACCTCAAAATCTGATTTTCAAAAGACGAATTAGCTTATAAGATTATACGTGAATTATTTTTAGCGTAGTGATTATCAGAATTTATTCAAACATGTGGTAGTCTTAGAGTACTTACTTATCAATTGGCATAATTGAACTTGGTTTGAACTGAAATACAAAATTGCGATAATGAAGATAAAAAATGTAATTAAGGTATGAAATTAAGATGAAATGAGTTTGAAGGTTGTTGCCTTTGTGATTTGCATTGCGTTGGAATAGGCTGTGAATAGTCATCTTGATGTATTGAGACCGGCCATAAAGAATTACGGAGGCAGCGTGGAAGTGTTATCCGTTGAAGGTGAGGAGTGCAAGGTTAAGTATGTTGGACCAGACTCCATTGGATCCGGAATCAAAGCAGCCATCAAGGAGAGGTTTCCAGACATTCTCAATGTTACCTTCTCTTCCTAGCTACCAACAACATCATCATCACTTTCTCTGCAACTATGCCTTAATATGTCCTTCACTTGAAAACCATCATCCTCAAAAAATGTAGAGTTACCAGTAGTGGGGGAATATAGCAGTTCTTTTCATTGTTTCTGTCTTAAGTTTGGATTGGAAACTTCCTCTATGGTAAATGTACTACACTTCTTATGCATGTTATTGTCTCTTCTTTTCTTTGGAATGCTAGATTTTAATTGAGTTGTTATTAGTTTTTACTTTTGTATCAATACGGCTAAATTGATATACGATTAGTTTTTAGAGATAAATCATGTAATAAAATAATTGAAAGACTGCAGATTTCCATGTTTATAATCTTCAGAACTTCTTCAGTGATTTTTGTCCTTTAAGAACTAAATTGGGTCAAATAATTTTTAGATTGATTGAGCTTTTATTCTTGGTATTTTTCTAAAATCTCACAAAATTACAGAAGAAAAAAAACGGTTCGGTTTTAACTCAATATATTGAATCAGTAAAACATGACAAGCACTTTTTTTCATATATCTAATCTTTCTCACTCCCGTACTTGAGACGCACAGTGCTCACTCTTCAAAAAATCAATTCAAATTTTGATGTTAATTATGTTCCCAATAATTGTTGCTCATATTAGTATGATCCCATGAATTTTTATTTTTTAAAAACAATAAATAAATAAACATTCATTAAAAGTACAATTGTCTCCCCTTTCCTTATCTTACTTCCGGACATTCTAGCATAGTGATTTTACTAATTTCCTCGTGTGTGCGCACTCAAAAAAATTAACTTGCATTCAGAAAGCGATTATTTTTAACGCTGTTTCTTTTGGAAGTGGTAAATTTGAAGCAATGATTACCATGCGTAAGAATACGGCTCAAGCCTACACATGGGATCCAAATCAAACCAAACTCAATGATGCAAGCAAACGAAACACTATTATAGTGTTTAAGTTTATAACCCACCAAACAGGCTTGCAACAACTACCTACGGAATAAAGTGTTTTGCTTAACAGAATAATACCCCTCAATTACGAAGCAATCACTTATTTAATTGTTAGTGTATTGTCATCCACTAAATTTAATTATTGCTCGTCTTAATTCACTTTTGTTCTCATTTTGTGTTTCTTTTCATATTTTGGCAGCTTCGATAAAAGAGTTGTCTGCGGAGAAAAGGAGTCAAGCATATAGAACAAAGAAAATAATCCCAAACAAGGGAAGGAGAAAAGTTCATCAATTGGCTACTCTTGTCCTCTAAGTTCCTGTCATATTCCATGAATTTTCGAAGACAACAGCAAATTTGAATTAAATTATTTTCATATAGCTTGAAATATCACAACATTATTCTCAGTGGGTGTGCAAGGGTGCAAACGATTAGAAACAAACATGAAGCAATGCAGTCTTTCCAATTGCTCCCTATTTCAGCATTCATAAGCCTTCAAAAACATCCGGAATTCCCGTTTCTAAACTTATATACATGCATATCCAAATAAGAAGCCATTTTTGTACCTGGTATCCCTACAAAGCATTATCAGCGTGAGAAATAAAGTCAAGCTTCTCAGGACATGCTAAAGATGGGAGATCTCATTCATCCCAGGGATCTCAATTTTCTCTTTACATTGAAGAGCAAGAGTGGCATTAGTCTAAAATTGCAGACCGAAGTAAACAGAACTGCAGTTGGACTAAATATACCACAATCAGAATTTCCAGGTGTTGAGTCCAAAGCCAGTTTCCACATTCATAATTTTGATTAAAAATATTCTTGGAATTGAAACACCCTTTTTCTCGGTTTCCACCTGGCAAATAACATGCAAAACCTTTTTCAGTAAATACAATGCATCAACAAGCTTTGTTGTGCTAGTTAACTATAGAAGAGAAAATTGAAGAAACAAGTACCGTAAGGATGCTGAAGAAGCAAAAATATATTATTATAAAAGCACACCAATGGTTAAGATGAATACTTAATTATAAAAGAACGATATCAAACTAGCAGTGTGAATCATCTCTGAAAAATATAAGCTCTCACCAGAGGAACTAGAGATCTGTGGCCTTTAGTTTTCTAGGTCTTTTATGAGCCGATGGAGCTCCAGGTGCCTGCAAAAATTTTTATTTTCAAGATCAACAATGGTGCGCTATGAAAATAGTCCACAGGTAAGCGGGAATCAAGCAGTGAAGAAAATATTTAGACAAACTCTGTAGTGTACCTTACGCTTTTGGTCCTTTTTGCTAACCCGTTCCACTGAAGCCATAGTTATAAGCACGGTTAATAATAAATAAACAAAAATCTCATCAATTAAAGGAAATTAGGTAAAGCAGGTGCAGACAATATCTATTACCTCCAAAATTCATTGCATCTGGAATGAATGTTCGATCCTGATCCCCAGCACGATGTAAATGCTGTCAGTAGTTTCCAAATCACAGACTCATGGTTAGGGAAACAAAATGGGATGTACAACGAAAGCAATAGAGGGGAAAATAGAAAACTAAAAGCCAAATTTCTAACCTTAGGTGTGCCAGGTGTTTCACCATATGACCCATCACGAAAAGAGGAACCTTCGGCCTCTTTATATTGAACCTGAAACAAATTGGCAGAAAGCAAGCCAATATGATTTTGCAACTCCTTTAGAAATATAAAGCTAAGAAAGGCATACAAGCATATGGACATTTCACATTCTAACTAGTGTAATCCCCAAAACCACGGTAGCAAGAATACCTGTTTCTGGAGATTAAGCCAAGTTAGTATTTCTTTTCTTAATTCAAGGTGCTCCGCACAAACAGCTTTTGTTGGAACTCTTGGTTTCAAATTGACCTGCAATCATAGTAGAACTATTTAAAAAGGAAGTGCACATGTGTGTGTGCCCTGTGCACGCATCACTTCACAGTATTAAGAAATTTATTTTAGTTAGTCATTAAATTTGTCAACAATGTGTATTATTTTTCCAGAATTACTCTTAAATTATTGGGAACGCATTCTCTTAATCTCTTTCTACCCAATTAACTAATGTATTTCCACTTAAATAATGACTATTTGCATCCTATAAAGAGGTAAAGGGAATGAAAGAGGCAACTCTGACTCATGATTTACCCTTTCGTGATGAGTCCAAGAAATTAATTTGCTGCATTTATTATTTATTGACTGGAAAAAATTGTCTAGTAATTAAGGGCAATTTTTGAAAAAAAAGTTAGTTCAGTAAAAACAGTTTGGAAGGGGCCTTTAGCATACTAAAAGGTTCCCTTGGGAGAGAAAATATGAAAAGAGTGTTTCAGAGAGATTATTTAATTTCTCAGCTAATTCATTCATTTATAGGAACCCTTACATCAAAGATATATATGAAAAGTAATGATCAACCTACACATAGGTAATACAATGCATATGTTAACCGGTTCTAACAAGTTAAATATTCAACTAAGTTAAACAATTTTGATAGGTTCCTATAGAAAAACAAAGGAAGTACTAATCGGTGCTCAAAAGGTACTTGTTAAGTAATAAACAAGTGGAAAGTATCTAACAGAAAGTACAACAATTAATACAAAGGAAACTTAAAAGCGAGTATTTTTCATTAAATAATGTTCATTTTTTAATCCTTAACAGGTGTCTCGCTCATTAACATTTCCTTTATATATTGTTACAATTACATATTAGTGAATACCATATGAATACCCAGGACAAACATATGAAATATCTTAACTATATTAAAAGTTCAAGTGAATGAAGACAAACCCCAAGGTCTTGCAAGGTTTGCTCAACCCGTTTGATAGTCCGAAGTCCAGCAGATGAGTTTGCAGCTTGCACCATTTGCTCAAGTGCATATGTTCTCAAATATACACGAAGCTGAAACATTTCTCGTTATTAGACTATGTTTAATGTATTAGGATTAAAAATAGTCATTTGAAATAGTGTGATCAGTGCAAGATCAAAGTTTTTAAATATTGAATCTAAGTTAACATTCCTGGTGAACATGGAGAGAATGAGCTTTGAGAAATGGGAGGTGTTTAGAACAGAAGTGTCAATAAAGAGAAGGCACAGGCTCCATCACTGGGATCCTTCTATATAACTTACCATGCGAAGAGAAGCTAGAGTAGATGCGTTATCTGATAATGTAGGAGGCACAACCATTGATGGAAGTTGCACATTCGATGGAGATACAGTTTCACCAGGGACAGCTCTTTCTGTAGCTTCTGCACCAGCATTAGAAGCAGCCAAGTGAGACTCTTCAGCAACCTACAACAAAAGATAAAACACATGTCATCTGAATACACACAAAGCTCCAAACATGGCCTCAGGTAAGTCTATTTCTAGAGTATTCCATGAGTAAACAAAGAGTGAAGTCTATCCTACACACATTTGAGGAAGACGTGGTGACAGTGCGGACAGCTTGTATCCACAAAGGCATCCTTCAGTACATGGTTCAATATAGGGCAATGTTGGTAATTGTGTTTTTAGTCCCATTTCATTAATAGCAACAAAAAAAAATCCATATAACCTACATAAATAGTTAGCTCAGGCACAAAAAAGAAAGTCCTTATAAATGAATTGGGTCACAGCCAGAGGGGGCGCTTGGTGCACAACTGATACTCTCTGCTGGAGCTAGTAACTAGATTGATTCATAATGACATACACAAACAGGTGCTTGTGCATCTTAAAGTGAAAACGTTTTATAAATTCCATGAATATTGCTGCCCCAAATTGGTAATGTGAACTGTGAACAAGCAATTCAAGGACAGCCTTTCAACAAGTATATTACTGTCAGTAAAATTGAAAACTGATGAGGTTATGAGTACACAGCTCTAGTTACCTCCTAGTGCAAATGAAATGATAAACAGCAGGAAAATTTTGTATGAAACTAAAATAAATAAGAACATTCCATAATAGTCAAAGGTCGTATCACAAGCAATCAAGAAATCAGAATTAGAACATTTGAAATTGATTCTTGATAACAATTCCCCCCTCCACAAGTAATTAATGGCATTATAGAAAAGCATTCTTTAAAAAAAAAATTACCTTGGGTGGAATGCGAGATTCAGCTATTCTTTTTGCTTCAACAAGAACCTGCATAAAAGAACAGAAGTAGGTATTATACCTTATTTTCTTTGAAGGTACACATTGCAGAAACTAATGACTATGATCTAAACAACAGTTCAAAACCTCTTCATCTCTGCGTTCTTGTTGCCTTGTTTGAGAGAGGACCATGGACAGTGCTCGCTTTCGCTCCATTTCTTGTGAAACATTATACAGTTCCTACAATGGGGAAGGACAAGTTATCACTATGATCAGGTGCAATGTCCCAAAGCAGATTCATGTTTTTAAGCAGTACCTTAACAAGAGGATGTGCTGCAACATCACCAGAAGATGGAGCTCTAGCAACCAATATAGCCCGCGAAACTACATCACAGGGCATGAGATAAAAGGTCATGTCAAACATATTACCATAAAATAAAAATGAAGTATGATAAAAAGAAACATGCAGCATATAATAATTGGTTGAACAAATACATACCACTATAATATCTATCCTTTAATTCCTCGACAGTCCGAGATGATGGAAACCTATCAGCTATTACAACAAATCGGAGATCAAATCTCTCACATAGGTCAAATAGTTGATCAGTCTCCTCTTTGGTCCACATCTACATATGTAAAGTACAATCGAATAGAGCAATGCACTTAAGACATAATAAATATTGATCTAAAAAACAATTAGGATAGAATATTACACGTTTTGAGTTTCAATTATGAAAAGGACACGGCATAGTTGCAGTTAAGGGTAAGCAGTGTTACGGATGAAAAGCACAACTTAGTGTGTACAAACAAAGCATATGTGAACTTAAACTAGACTCACAAATACAGATCCTTCCAAATTGATCACAAATAGGCTAACCATCGTTATACACAGTGTAAGGAAAAAAAACGTATGAACTCAAATACCAATCCACAAGGTTAGCTATCCAATTCAAAAGACAGATTCTTTTGATCGACAAAACCTAAGGATAAGAATAATTCAAATTCTGACCCCATTCTTACTTGCATTATCCGATTCAAAGGCTTTAAAGAGTATCCAACATTTTACTATATCATTCTACCAAAACCACCAACTCCATACAAACAAAATTAGTTATCCTATCGATGTGGAAGGGAATAAATCTTCAAATCCTCTTACATTAATGTACAGATAAGCTCAGGTAAGACCAAGGGTCAAACAAATTTTGTCACATCAAACCAAAAGGTCTCACAAGAGACACCCTCAGCAACAGTAAATAAGAATTTGCCCAAAACTCAATTGCCAAAACCAAATTAAGTACTGTTAAGTATGGTTCTAAATTCTGATGATCAAATTAATAGAATCTTATCAAATTAATAGAATCTTAATGTGGTATAGCATAGAAAAGAAAAAAAAAACAGTAATCACCACTTCACACAAACTTGAGACTCAAGGATGTGAAATGGAAACCAGGGAACAGAGAGGTGTAGTTGCATAAGTGAATAGAGAGAAATAAGAGAACAATGACCTCCCCAAACAGCGTAAGTGGCCCACTAGAAAACCCATCCTTGCCCAAGCTAGAATCCCATAGTAATAACAGAAAGAAATCCATGAATAGATGCATCTCACTCCTCCCCTACCACCAACTATCGGTGGTCCCACAAAGCAAAACAGAAAACATAACAAACCAGACTTAAATGTATTTTATTGCGTTTTTTTTTTTATGTGTTCCAAACCATAAATCCTTCCAGGTCACTAGGGATGTTTGCTATCTCACCATCAAAAGTGTTGTCTACCATTTCCAATCAATATTGCAGACAAATTTTGTTGAATAATGACTGGAAGAAACCACACACGAAATACATGAATCCTTCTCTTTTAGGGAAAAGAACTTCCATACGTGATTTACAAATACCAACATAAGTAAAAAGCAATGTAACACTTAGCGATGTTAACCAAGGTAGTTGAATTGGGATACAAAGTGCATCACAAGGTACAATGTAGCACCCATCCGACCCATAAAACAATTTGCATAACCAGACTTCTAAATCATTTCAAAGTGGTAGTATTGTAGCACGTCTGGTGATACGAATTACCATAGTGTTAACACAAATTAATTTAAATGGAAGACCCCCAATCAACAACTTGATACACTGAATAAAATACATGTGGGGTAAACATTATAGCAAATCATTCATAAATTTACGTAAAAATATACATTTAAACATGTTACCCACAGGATTTGTCAAAAACTTGTCATACTCCTCATCTGTGTATTTGATCACATCAACGGCCTGTACCAAAGCATGTAAACTAACATTCAATCATAAAGATAAGTATTGACCAAAACCAAATTCAAAAACAAAGCAACGCAAAGCATTTACCTTATTATACTTGGCAAAAGAATAGTCCCCCGTGGGAGGAACACCATTGACAACTCGCCACCCCCCCAAACACCCCACTCCCACCCCCAACCACACACCACCCCCCACCCCCCCCCCCCCCCCACCCCCCCCCCCCCCCCCCCCCCCCCCCCCCACCCTCCCCCCACCCCCCCCCCCCCCCCCCCCACCCCCCCCCCCCCCCCCCCCCCCCCCCCCCCCCCCCACCCCCCCCCCCCCCCCCCCCATGATTTATAGACAAATTGCAATACTCGTATGCTCATAATCAAGAATAGGGTTAAGTTTCTTGTTTAAACCCTTGTACTTGTCTCAATTTTATGTGTTAATCTCTATACAAGATAACTGGAAGTCTAGTTCCTAGACATTTTTGTAGCAGTTTATTACCACGACAAAAAAGAATTTTGGTAACAGTATGATACCACCAAAAAGATTCAATGTATGTGTGTCATTAGTGACTAAAACTTGTAAAATGGTAACCAACTATAGGTTAATTTAATATTTTAACCCACATATTAGATATATATAATATATAATATATATATCTATATATATAAAAATTATACTGAGACTATTTCTGACCCAGTGGTAAAGTTGAAGATTATCTTTTACGGCAGAGCTGGTGAAAGGAAGCCACTGCCAAGTGATCTGAAGAAACATGGAAAAGTTGAAAATACTCAATAAACTAAATCACTAAACTGAATTGAGCATTGTCAAAACAAGACTAAAAGAAAAAAACGAAGAAGCAACCTTTTCGACAGGAGGAGGCTTTTTCTTCAATTGAGAAGCTTCAATAGAAGGCATAAGAGGGGCCAATCCACCTGTAAGCGCATACACCTACAAAAAAAATTCAATTCAATTGAATGCAGTGAACATACACAAAATCTTGAATACACTCTTATTGTTGAAATAGGTACCTCGCGCGAAATGCCATCAGGTTTTCGTTGAGACTCTTTGGGAGGTCGAGACTTCTTCTCAAGAGAGGGGAATGAGTTTTTTGGCAATCCAGGATATCTTTGGCATCCATAATTCACAATTATACCACACAGTTAGGGACTAGTTAGGGTTTCAGGATCACGTTTGGAATTTGGGGAATCTAAACAGGATTGTTCTTCCTGTTTCAGTTTTCCCTCTCACTTTCTTCAGTGTCATATTACAATTTTAGAATGACATGACAGCGACGTCGTATGGTCTCCTTGTCATAACGAGGGTTTCTATTCTCCAATAAAAAGTACCAATTTCATTAATATTATACTATAGTCATACTTATTTCATGAATTATATAAAATAAAAAGGTTTTATCATCATCAAAAAATCTTGAGAAAATAAAAATATATTGAACTTCCACATTTAATTATTTTTTTATTTTTTATTCTTGATATGCATTTTTTAATGATCGTATATTTTTCATAAAGATTTCTCTCTTTTATACCATAGAAATATATACATTATGCATGATATTCAATTTCATACAAGCATAACTCTAGATGGATCAAAGGTTTATTATATATATTATAACTTTGCCATGGACTGTGGCTCCAAGCGCTTCTAAGTCCTCCTGGGATAGGACGAGCAGGTGCCGGCCGGCCAGATGGCCTCCCAGTCAATCCTGCCACACTTCAACCACCGCGCTGTCGAACGTAAACCTAAGAATAAACTTAACAATAAATATTGGCCGTATCAGGCCCCGAAAGGTAGCTTACAACATAATGGTCCAGGTATGGTTGAAGACATTCACAATAATTCATGCATGACGCTGTCATATACTAAGCGAGGAGTCCAGCAGCGAGTGAGCGCACCTGAGGCATAGGAGCCTTTCACGTCAACCTCCAGAGTCTCTGGTCTGGCCCGGTTTCATTCTGGATAAGTTCTCGGCTCTACCTATTCAGCGCAGAGCCTACTTTAGCGTGAAATACGTCAGTTTCTTTATGTTAAGACCCTGGACGTCGAAATATATATATATATATATATATATATATATATAATTTACACCTGTGTCAATGTATAAGCAAATTAGGATTCATTTAAATAAAAACAATATTCAATAGTTTATTTAAGTGACAACAAAAAAAATAAATAAGAAATTAATATTGATTTGTCTAAGTTTGTTTAAAATATTTAATTTGATAAAAAATGAATTCATGTAGACCATTATAAATAGTCATAAATGTTAACACTCCCTAGTCATTGCTACCTTTTTTTTGTGGTAATAAAAAATCAAAAATTAATCAATTATATGAATTAAATCTAATTTTATCCAAAATTTTTCATGTCAGCACAGTGACCTTTTATATTCAGTTAATTTAAGAAGATTACTACATTAGAAATGTCGAATTATCAAAAATATTATAATATATAAAATATTCATAATACATAAAAAGTATAATTTTACTTTAATAATTTAGATGTTAATGAGTTTCAAGTAAATTATTTATTCTTCAAGTAAATATAAGTATTTAACTTGTTTTTTTATTTATAAAATGTCCATCTTATATATATTTTATTTGAACTAATTGATATACGTATACATGAAAGGAATACTCAGATAAAATTTAATTATAAAAAAAATACTAACACATCTGATGAAATACAATTTTAAAAAAGTTGTGTTTTTAGAGGTTTATGACGGGGGTTGCATTTTGTTATTTTTATATAATTTAAAGTGAATATTTAATGAATGAAAAACATTAAAAAAATATTTATATTAAAAAAATATATAATTTACATATGAATTGCCATTTTAATATTATATTATATAATTGTATAATAATTAATTCAGGAATACATAATTGTTATATGAAACTTATAGATTATTTACATAAAACATAAAGAAATAGTCATTGTATATATTTCATAGTTCATTGTAAAGGCTCTTTTCAAGTTGTTGTATTTTCTTACATGTGATCATAAATAGAGTTTTTATAGGATCTCTATAATATGGTAATACTTCATAAGATCGAACATGTGGTTTCTCATCATCTTTTTATCATAGCATAAAACTTAACATAATTCACTTCACAAAATTGACATTTTGTCCTTTTAGAAATAATTGTTTACGCAATGGAACTTTCAACATATTCTTCAATAAATTTTGATACTGATAAACTACTTTGAGATCTTTTTGAAAAAAAATCCAGAAGTGCATCAACCCTCCAAATATAAAATAAAACATTTATTAAAGTTTAACATATATTTATGAAATCCGTTTTTCTTTTTTTTTTATCTAAGTGTTTCGGTTATGAGGTCGAGTCACTTCAAACACCTGTACAATTTTTTCTTGGATGTCGTATGGTAACAACTTCTTCTAGTCTTTGTTTTCACTCCACCGTCTGGAGGGTACCTGCCAAACAATTTCTCCTTAGATACCGTTCGATAATAACTTCTTTCAGTATTCGTTTTCACTCAACCGTCTGAAAGGGTACCTGCTAAAGGTTCTCTGATGCTTAAGTTAACAAACTGTCCATATGAAAGTTCAGAGTAATGGTAATAAATGCACAGGCGATCATCTACCTCTTACCCTTTGACCTGTATTTATAGTTTTTGACACGGGCTTAAGATTAGTGAAACCTTAATATCGGCTCAATTTCAATCCAACACTGCTAATTGCCACTTACCTTAATTATTGTAGGGAAAATTTGTTTATCAAATAAGGTCAGACGTCCCTGATTATAGTCATTCGGTTTTGCTTGTTGGTGCAACCACATTCCCTCACTACTTAGCTGTTTTCCTGTTTTTCAGAGTCGTCCGGTTTGCTTGGTGCGAAATATTACGTTGGGCCATCCGACCTATACGGTACACTAAGTACTATTAAAGCAAAAACTTATTTAACTAAACATCAAATTATATATATGTTCATCACATATGTTTGTCATACAAAACACACTTACACTTGTATATGTCTAATCGCACAACTTATGTCTATTAGGTTTGATACGACCATATACTTATAAAATTATAAAATTATGTTTCACATTTAAAAAACAAATGTTAGTTATACTTTAATACATTACACTTGTTAGAATATTATTGAATCATAACACTTCTTATGTTTACGTAAAAATTTATTTCATTATTTTCATTTTAAGTAACTAGTTAAAAAATGTATAATATTAACATGTTAGTTAAAACAAGTATATATTGATATCTACTTTTTATTCATTAAAATATGAACACAGTCTTCATAATTTTTTACCAGTTAAATAATTATATAATAATAATGTTGACATGTATATAAAAATTTAAGTACGAATATTTTCTCTTTCTTTTAATTTTAAAAAAGTGAGTCCTGTCTTTAATAATAAGCAGCGTTTAAAATGTGTTGTTTAAAAAAATAACTAACACTTAAAATGTATTCCCTATAAGAAAAAGCAACATTCAAAATGCATTGTTTATAAAAAATAAACAACACTTTAAAATGTATAACTTAACAAAGCAACATACTAAAAAAGTTGTTGCCTATAACCTAAGCCCTACAACCGTATCCTCCATGCCTACAAAATTGTTAGCCTAAAGTTTAGCCATACTTTTTTAACTTTTGACCATGATTTTTAGTTGTTGTTTAAAGTATAAAAATGGTGTAGTGTGAAATTTTAACACTAACGGTTTCATTTTAAATGACAAAGCAAAACTTATAAAGTTATACAGTAGATGTATAGATTTGGATAATTCAGTCTAGTAATTTTTTGATAATTGTTTTATAACAGAGGATGTAATGATTTATTAGGTTGATTATAAGTGATCTTTATTTATATTAACTATATATAAATGTCAATATTATCATTAGTTTACCCTATTTTTTTTGGTCATTATATTTTTTTTGCTATGACTACTTTAATGACATGAACAAACAAGGTTACAAGTGGTAATGCGATTAGTCAGATAATCATCTTTAAAGTTATTTTCAAAAATAATGTACATAGATATATGAAATGGTATAATTATTTGTCTTCAAGTATATTTTGACAAACCTTTTAAAATTTATGTAGTTTTAAAAGAGACTATGGTGATTGTAATTATACTACTGTTATATGTTTATGTATGTTTTTCTTTTAATAATATGACCAGGTATTGCTTAATATTATATTGAAGAGGCTAAAAGAAATAATATAATCTGTTTTCTTTGTCCTTACATAAAAACTATCTCAATTAAATAAACAAATCAATATATTTTAAAAATATATAATAAAATATTCATTCTTTATTTTAACATAATAAATACGTAAAATATATTAATAAAAAGTATTTTTAATAATATATTTAATTAATTAATTTTATTAAAAAAATATTTATCCATCAAATCATTTACAAACTTTAATAAAAAAAATTCTCTATTCTTCACTGTCTTTATCTTTAGCCAAATAATATTTTTCTTTCTCTTCAAATTAACTCATTTCCACTCTCTCAAATTCATACATATCCTTAATGTTTGAATTGGAGAGAGTAAATGAATTTGAAAAAATAGAAGAGAATTGTTGTTGTTTAAATTAATAAAAAATGATGTGATTCGAAATTAAAGTTTGTATATGATGTGATAAACATGATAGATTAAAAAAAGTATGATAAGATGTAATATTAGGTGATCATTATATCCTAAGCACAAATATGATATAAAATTGAATGTAAACAGTGAAAATGATATTAAACGTTATTATAATTATAAAAAATAAGGTTAAATTGTGGAAAGATAAAAAAATGAAGAGGGAATTGTAGGATGGTATCTTAATCACGTTTTCTTAAATAATAATTATATTTTCTAAGGTGTTGGTCGGTTACTCCATTAGTTTGGTTTAATTAGAAACCTTACAGATGTTAAAGTTTTATCGAAATGAGATCCTTTTCTTAGGTAATTGATCACTCGACCACAAAAATCATTCAACTTCTAAACATAAAAAAGGGAACGATTTCCACCACCAAAACAATCGATTGCAGCCCTTCTAAATCACACTCAAAATTATAGACATATTTAATGCATCTATAATCGATTCTTTTACTGCATTCACACTACAAAATCATTTATGCAAATTTAAAATTAAAGTGAAAAATATTTTGGTCATTCACTTGTATATGAATAATTTCCCTATATCACATGCATCAGATGCGAATGTTTTATTTCTACCTTTCGCAAATTATTTTAAATCCATTAAAACAAACATATCACTCATATCCTCACACTTATACG